GGCGCGGGCAGGGGCGCGGGCGGCGGCGCGGGCAGAGCCCTGGGCGAAGGCTCGGGCTCCCAGAGCAGGAACTCGTGCAGCAGCGTGTTGACCGTCTCGGGGCACTCCAGCATCACCATGTGGCTGCCCTCGTCGATGAGCTTGAGGAAGGCCAGGAGCAGGATCTGCGAGGACACGGGGCTCGGGATGGGCGCCGGCCCCTCCCGAGCTGCCTGCGGCGCGGGAGTCCCTCCCGGAGCCCCTCCGGCATGCCCTCGGTGCCGCCCGGAGGGCCTGTCGCCCTGCGGGCCCAGCTGGTGTGCGTTGGTTCGGGCTGACTAGGTGCCCCAGGATGCCCGAGGAGGAGTCCCCGCCCTGCCCTGACAGCTGGGGCTGAGTGGGGGCTGGCCCCGGCTCTGGGGTGTTCAGCAGCATCTCCGGCCCTGACTTACTGGGCGACTGCGGCATTAACTCACACACACACGGTGACAAGATGTCTCCAGACACTGCCGAATGTCCCTGGAGGCAAGACCACCTCTGGGCAGGAATCACTGAGCCAGACAGACAAGGTCTCTCATGCCGAGACTGGATTTCTCAACCTTGGCATTAATGGCATTTGGGGGGACCCTATGCGCTGTAGGGTGTCAAGCAGCATCCCCGGCCTCCACCCACCAGAGGCCAGTAGCACCCCCATGCCCCTCCCAGTTGTGACAACTAAAAGTATCTCCAGACATTTCTAAGTGTCCCCTGCCTGAGTCTAAGAGTTAAGAGACCAGCCTGGGCCACTTGGTGAGACCTCGCCTCTACAATAAACCAAAAAATTAGCCAGGTGTGGTGGTGCGCGCCTGTAGTTCCGGCTCCTTGGAAGGCTGAGGTGGGAAGGTCACCGGAGCCCAGCAGGTTGAGGCTGCCGTGGCTGTGAGCGACAGTGAGACCGGCTACAGATTCCCCCCCTTTTTCTCCTTTTCTTTTTTTGAAAGCAGGATTTGTTGAGAGGACAGAAAAACTCCCATAGTGGGAGGGGACCCAAAGGGGTTGCCCACGGATCCCCTTTCTCGGTTGTTTTTATCCTAAATACCCCCTGGCCCCCCTCCCAGATTTAGATAGGTCACTGGTCTCTTAACCCTTAGCTGGGACGAGAGTCTTCTCACCTGCCGCAGGGACGCGCCTGATTGCTAACACCTGTCCTGGGCAGCCCTGCTTTCTAGAGCCTTGGATTCCCAGCCTCGCGCTCCCAGCTGCCTGGGGTCAGCAGAGCCACATCTAGAGGCCACGCCCCCGCTGCCACCCGGGGTCCTGGGCGCCCGGCTCTGGGTCCTCGCCCTACCTCGGCCATGCGCTGGTCCTCCTCCATGGGCACAAACTTGTCGTGCATGCCGTGGACGATCAGGACAGGCACGGTGAGCTCGGCGTGGTAGACCTCGTCGCCCTC